GAAAGAAAGAAAGAAAGAAAGAAAGAAAGAAAGAAAGAAAGAAAGAAAGAAAGAGAGAGAGAGAGAGAGAGAGAGAGGGAGGGAGGGAGGGAGGGAGGATGCAGTTAAATGATTTTGGGTTTAATGCAATGGTTCTACAGATGCAGGCTTTTTCACCTGCTTGTCTTCTGATCAGATCCAGGGGCCAGACCTGAAAAACCAGCCCGGATGGTTTGATGGAAAGAAAGAAACCGTATAATTCTATGCGTGCTTCTTCTGAAGCCAGGGCGTTTGCAAGGTATGGTCAAGAAAGTCAAGATGGTGGCTACAAGGTGCAGTCAAAGCTCTGATGCATATAGAAAGCAAAGCTTTGATTGCAATCATTGCAGCCTCCATATTGACTTTTTTTACCACACCCTGTAGACATCCCTGCTCTGAAGGAATTGTGCTGTGTGCAATGGAGCTTGATAAGTGTGTACAGTATGTCAGCTTTTCCCAGCCTTTGGGTCTTTCCCCACTGCGGAGCTGAAGTGCTGTCCAGCTGTCCTTGAATTGACCAGACAAGGGACTGACACGAAATTGGCCACCCTTCCAGCCTTGGTGGCCTCATTTCCCTGTCCTTGCAACCCTCTGACTGCCCTGGAAGGTTGCAAGTGACAAAACCCAGCAGATTCCACCCATCTCGAGGCTGTCCTTGGATGATACCAGAACACGAGGGAAAAGATTACAGGCAGTTTCCAGGTTGTGTAAACTCGGACTTACGTCATTCCAACGTTACGCAAAAGGTGCAAAAATGGCAGCTGCTGTTTGGGCATGTACACAAGACACAGAAAGTGGCCACCCTTGTCCATTTGTCCTTGGGGCATGGTTTGATATACCCCAAAGACAACCTTGCGTAACCTGGGGATTGCCGGAACCATAAGGCCAGCAGAGTTAACAACGATTAAAGGCTGTCTCAGTTGTAAGGGATGAGATGAAAGGAAGATCACTGCGATGTGGAAGAGGAAAGATGTTACCAGGCCATGATTGGGCCACAACTCACTGGAAGTCAAGAAGGACCTTATGTGTTGGTCTTGGACAGAACTGGGAAGCCAGTATGGCCAGCATTTGATAATGTGCGTTTGCCTTGTGCAACATCTCATTTTTCAGAAATTCTGGGACCGCACCTCTCAGAATTTCTTGTCAACATGACACGACCCTGCAAAACCTTCCACACGTATGGAGGGGGGCAGACCGGGCCATCTGATGGACCATTCTGACGTTCTCCCAAGGCACTATCCCCTACCGAGCCATCATGTCAATGCTTCCAAAAAAGGTCTTAAGCATCCTGGAGTTCTGTACCTGTAGCAGTTGGATCAGGGGGGGTGATTGGTGGAAAGACAGATGTAGACTCTTCTGTGCCTATAGAAAAAAAGGGGGAAAGTACAATTATGAACAAGGACAAAACACACACCTCTAGGAACGTTGAGGTTGGAAAAAACCTCAGACTTGGAGACCATCTGAACCTTCACAAGAATCATGATGTGGAACAGTCATCCTGGGAGAAACGTTGAGTAACTGAATCTTCCATCTATTAGTTTTTTCACACCCAGAGAATAGGGTTACTTTCTTTTCTTTTTTTTCCCCTGAATTTTCCCCCTGGCTTTCCTGCTTTCATGTTGCTTTGCAGGGGTATCCGCATTGCTTCAATCGCAATCTCACAGACGCCACCCTGGGGTTTTTTGGCCATATCCTGTGGACACCCCTCTTGCTTTACAACATTTTTGATGCTCTTCCTGTGTTAATCTTGCTCCCTGTGATTAGGAAAGCAGGATAAAATATGTTTGTTGCCAGATGGCTGTTTAGAAAGGATTCCCTTCAATTCCCTTGCTCAGAGCTGGCATTTGACTTGGCATCCACCACACACAGGCATGGATGGAGGTCCCCCTTGCCCAGAAAAAAAAGGGTGAAAAACTTGTTCGATTCTGTCGGTTGTAGCTGTTCCTTCTTCACACATTACAAAAAACTCTCTTTTAAAAAAGGGCACAATAGGTTAGATTACAACCTCCATAGACTAGCTTCATGGGGTGGGCTTACCTGCATGGCACGACCCATCAGAAGGGGTTGACTTGGCCATGTCATTCAGCGAAAAAGTATTCAGTCCCTTGGGACTTCTTTGAAGTTTTGCCCATCTTTGCCACTGAATGTGATCAGAGCTTTCTCAGGGCTCTAGGGAAGGGTAAAGGGAGTCTGTATGAACACGTAACACCATCGTTCGATGCAGAAATTCAGAAAATCCCAAAGGGGCCAAATGTATGACGCTTCACTGTACCAGGTAAAACTGGAATTCGATCTGTCCCAGGCGCCAGTGAATCTCCCTCACCTTTGTATTTCTCAGGCAACATCCATATGTATTTATTTATCTGTTCAATTTATATTTCTCGCATGCATGACTCTCGGTGGCACAGAGTGTTGCTGTCTTATCTGTTCCAAATGCCATACCTTATCCATAAATTGGTGTTTGTTCAAAAGAGCCATAAACCGAGAAGGAAACACGTTTATGCCATGTGTGGAGGTTCTCATACACTCCAGCCAAGACCTGACAGGAAAGGCTCATAAATAAAACTTTACAGCCTGGATTCCCATCAGGGATCCCAAAAGTTGAAAATTATAAAGCAGAAAAGTAGGGAGTGAAGTTTGGAAAACGCAACAGTGGCCACGGGATTGGAAAAGGTCAGTTTACGTTCCAATTCCAAAGAAGGGCAATGCCAAAGAATGCTCAAACTATCGCACAATTGCACTCATTTCACATGCTAGCAAGGTTATGCTTAAAATCCTGTAAGCTAGGCTTCAGCAGTATGTGAACCGAGAACTACCAGATGTAGAAGCTGGGTTTCAAAGAGGCAGAGGAACTAGAGATCAAATTGCCAACATGCGCTGGATCATGGAGA